AAAAAAAAAAAAAAAAATAAATAAGTGCAGTGTTAATTAATTGCAATCGAAACATTTTCTACGATTTTTCTTTTCTTTTTTTCTTTTTTTTTCTTATTATTTACAACTCGATCCTCCTCCTGCTTTCTAAATAATAATTATAATAATAATAATAATATAGTATAAAAAAAAGAAACGCGAAACAAAAAGAAAAACAATTACCTCCTAGCTGATGCAAATGACGACGAGAGAGAGAGAGAGAAAGAGAGAGAGAGAAAGAGAGAGAGGAATTAAAATAATAATCCGAAAATATTTTGTTGCCGATGGAATAATTAAATTGAAGTTTCGAAATGTTAAACGAGTTAGTTAACACCTCACGAATAAAGATACAAGATAAATAGTTAAATAGGATAAAAATAAAATGATAGAATGAATGCACTTCCCGCTCGTACGAGTGCACGATGCAAACTGACAGACGCACGAGGCAAGAGAAGAGAGGAGACAAGTTCGTGTTAGTTACTCATGTGACCTCTCTCTCTCTTTCTCTCTCTCTCTTTCATAGACTCTCTCTGTGTATAACGGATACCGACACACCCATAATCTTTTACATATATCCTACACACGCATATATAATGCACCCACTAAGATATTGTACGTACAGATAACTAATACTTCGAATACGATAATATAAATCATACACACACACACACGTATACATCTAGGACACATAGAAAACTAACACCCGTACGATATGGATCACACATAGATGCATACAATTGCATTACTTGATATCCGCGTAATACGTAGAAACTATAATTCTGTATTATTTTTTCTCGATTGAGAATATATTTTTCTTTTTCAATTCCTAGCTCTCCCACCAAACTGTCCGAGTTTCTCGACTTCTATTTTTTTTTTTTTAACGCTCGTGGGAATAAGGTTTAAAGGGCACGAACCCTTTTTTTCTTACCCCAAAAACGGAAGTTCGTCCTACGTTTAATTACGAGTTTACGGTTTATATTCGAGAAATGTTGTGCATTAGAGAATGAAATAAATTTTCCTTTTTTTTTTGAATCGCGTTTCGTTGTTAGTATCGTT